GCAGCCAATCAATGTTTCTTCTCATTCATGTCTCTTTCTCTCTCCCTTTCCCTTCTTCTCTCTCTACATTTTTTAAAAATTTTTAAGAAAAATAAATAAAATAATTTAAATTAACTTTGGAATATGGAGAGTACATTAAAAATAAGGGAAAACAAATTCTAATGTAATTGGCTTATAGAATATGCATTATCAATATCAACATGAAAAAAACAATTTCGAATTTCACTTGGTTTCCAGCAATTGATCACCCATACTTGGATCTAGGCATAAAGAAAACAGACTCTATTTTGAGAAGAGGTAAGTAACATAAACATGGTATTAAATTGTATAAATTTAATATTAGAAAACATAGAGGGTGGCACAAAATAAAGTTGTATGCATTGAGGGTTGGAAGTGAGATTCATGGTTGGAGTGGTCCTTTTCTATGGTAGAATGTTATAAGCCACAGTGGCTAATAATGGTGGTAAACTATTATATATGTATGTATATATAAAAACTAGAGGCCCGGTACACGAAATTTGTGCACTAGAGGGGGTTGTCCCTCAGCGTAGCCTGCACCCTCTCTAATCTGGGACCCTTTGGGGGATGTCTGACTGCCAGGGATTGGGCCTAAAGTGGCAGTTGGACATCTCTCTCACAATCCGGGACTGATGGCTCCCAACCGCTCGCCTGCCTGACTAATTGCCCCTAACCACTTCTGCCTGCAAGCCTGACTACCCCCTAACCACTCCCCTGCCAGCCTGATCGATGCCTAACTGCTCCCATGCCAGCCCAGTTGCCCACAACTGCCCTCCCATGCCAGCACGGTCACCCCTAACTGCCCTCCCCTGATGACCTGGTCTGCCCCCTCAACTGCCTTCCCTCTCCTGCTGGCCTGGTCACCCCCAACTGCCCTCCCCTGCTGACCTGATTGCCCATAACTGCCCTCCCCTGCCAGTCATCTTATGGCGGCCATCTTGTGATGACATGGGGGCAGCCACCTTGTGACTACATCGTGGTGGCCATCTTGTGTGAGGGCATGATGGTCAATTTACATATTACTGCTTTATTATATAGGATAATACAAATATACATACACATATATTTTATATAACACACAAATACTTTTAATTTCTAAGTGCAGTTATACAAAAATTAGGGTTAATGGCAAAAGAACATTATTTGAAATAAGTTCTTGGTCTTTAGTGGCAGGAAAGCTGATCACCAGTACTGACAGAAAAACTTGTCTATCTGCAGTGGTTGCAAAATGGAGCTAAGAGAAAATGTGAGCAAGGAACAAAACTGTTGGGATAAACAATAATAAATAGAGGGGCTAGAAGAGTTAGGAAATATGCCAAATCCCTGGAAGTTTACAATGAAAAAAGAACATCATCTGAGAATTCCTTGCATTATCTGCCCTCTAATAAAGAGAGAATTAATCTGTATTTTTTTATGTGTCAGTGAATGGCTTACTCTTTGTAGTTTGACTCAAAGTAATACTGTTGGTAAAATTACCACAATATGTTTTTATTACATAAATGTATTTTAAAGGCAGTAATTCAGTTGAATGAGTTGAGTAGAACTATATCCAATGCTTAGTGCATTGTTCAAATCCAGCATGATGAAAATATTATAATGAAACATCAATAAATATAAGCTGAAATTTTAATTTAATTAACATTCTGGGATAAAAGTAAAAATATTAAGCAATAAACTATTGTTCACTCCAGAACAAAATAAATATTTATTCAGCCCCTGTGACATATCAGTGACTTTAATGGTTGAACTTATGTCAACCTTGCTTCTTGGGTAAGCCATCAAGCCAACTCTGCAGTACTCTCTCTTTCCTTTCTAAGGATATATGAAGGAGCCCTGCTTAGATAGATATGCATCAGATGGGGAGACCATAGGTCTCAGAGACTGGCGATTGATCAGGAAGGACTGTCAAATGAAGATAGGCGTGTGGAAAACCCAGAGCTGAGAATACACTGAATCCTGAAGAGATATCAAGTACATGATTAGGGAAACTTGAGTTCAGTTTTCCCATCCAGGGCACCACATAAGGGCTTTGGTGACAACATCTAAAGTCACATGTACTAAGTCACCTAAGAGCAGGACTTTATTCATTTGTCTTGTTCACCACTGAATAGCAAGGGGCTGACATATAGTCTATTCTCACACATCTTTGTTCATATAGTGATTGAAAACTGGGAGGAAAATGGAGTAAATTCTAAAATAAGAACATGGCTGAAAGAAGGGAAGGCAAGATGCTCCTTAGAATTGAGTGCCTGGCTGTAGGTGCTTTAGTTGGTGGTAGGCTTCTTGCTGTTTGTTAAGAACCCTCTACTTAAAAACAAAGTATGCCATTGGGCAACGATATTTTGTCCAGTGCAAGTTACATTCCTGGGATGTTGTTATGAGGAGTGGGAAAGAGACATTCATTTCCATTTGCCCTAGGTATCAAAGTCACTATCCTGACTTCTCAACGGTCCTAAATGCATGCTTGCATAACCATAGGAAAATGGAATCATTCTGAGAATAAAATTATTTGTACTTTATGACCACTTAGGCCAGTGATGGTGAACCTTTTGAGCTCGGCGTGTCAAAATTTTGAAAAACCCTAACTTAACTCTGGTGCTGTGTCACATATAAAAATATTCATGATTTTTTTTTTGATATTTGCAACCATAGTAAAAAAAAGATTTATAATTTTGATATTTATTTTATATATTTAAATGCCATTTAACAAAGAAAAACCAACCAAAAATATGTATAGAATGAAAAAAAACCAAGAAAAACAATGTACATTTAGGAAAAATAATAATAAAAAAATGATAATCAAATGGTACGAAAACTAGAAATTAGTGACTTTTTTGGTGCTGAAGTTTCTTCGATTGCAGGTGCTAATTCTTTGATTGCAGGTTCATACTTGGTGCACTTCAAGGCCAAGCAAGCGCCACTAACTTCATCTGTTAGCTGGTTTCTTTTGTTCATTTCAATATTATTTAATGCTGAGAACAAAGTCTAATAAAAATATGTTGATGAAAAAACTGTTAGCAAGGCCATCGCTAGATTTTTATGTTGCTAAAAGTGTCAAGTACTCTGTTCCAAGCACTCAAAATTTCTTGTTTGTAGTTGCACTCTTCATTATTCAAACGATTTTGTTCCAGATTTTCAAGTTTCAACCTAAAGTCGACAAACTCATGAGTCCAAATGCTACCTTGAAAATCTGCAAGTTGCATCTCTAAATCGTCAATTTGCATCCATTGGAAATCCTTTATATCCAAAATACTGTAAACAACTACATCCGGATACTTAATTATTTTAATAGTCTGTTCTGGGCTTCTAAATTGGTCAAATCTTTTGCTGAACTGTTCAAATAATGAGTTTACTATATTCTGGTACATAAGTATGGACTCCATTACACTCGTTTTAGTGGCCTTCTCAAAATACTTTTCTATCTGAGGAAAATACTTATAAGTTTTAGTTATAATATCTCATTTGAAAATTTTAAGTTTACTTTCAAAAGATTTGATGTATCCAAACATAACGTCAATACTTTTGCCAAAACCTTGTAATTTTAAGTTCAGTTCATTCATATGAACAGAGAGATCTGTAAAAAACATCAAATTGCTGACTGACTTAAGATCATTGATCTGAGGAAAGTTTGCCAGATCCTTATTCTCAATAAATACCGTAATTTTTTCAAAGCACTCTACAAATCGCTCAAGTACTTTACCTCGACTCAGCCATCTCACATTATTGAACATCAGTAGTCCACTGTAGGTTGAATCAACTTCCTGTAAAAGTGCAGTAAATTCTCGCTTGTGAAGGGGTCGAGAAGCTATAAAATTCACAATTTTTGTTACACCTGACATTAAATCATTCAATTCTGAGAATCCCGATTTGGCACACAACACCTCCTGATGGATAATGCAATGAAAAGGTACAAGTGGATGTCTAATAGCTTCCACAAACAATTTCAGGAATCCCACATTTTTTCCGCCATATTTGGTGCCCCATCTGTTCTGACTGACACAATTTTGGAGATATCAATGTTTAGGTCACTGATTGTTTTTATAACAACCTTACATATTTCATTTCCTGGTGTACTTATTGGCACTGATTCTAACTTTATCAACTCTTCTCTCATTGTGAGACCATCAGAATATCTAGCAATAATGGCCAACCGAGCATTTGATGTGACTTCAGTAGTTTCATCAAGAGAAATCAAAAAATATTTACAACTATTTAAGTCTTTTTTTAATTGGTGTTGTAGGTTTTTGTTAAGATCTATTATTCTGTCTTTGATAGTATTTCTACTGAGTGGTAACTCAGAAATCTTTTTATAATATCATCTTTATTTTTCATATCATGAAATAGAGCTGGTGCACATCTTAGAAATGTTTCCTTAAGAAATTCTCCGTGTCTGAGGGCTTTTCCATTCTGAGCTACGTGGTGAGCAATACAGTAACTTGCTCATGTTAATTTGTAGAGCATCTTACAAATTTAATGATGGAATTTGATTGACTTTTATAGAGGTGTAGCTGCCTAGAAATGTATTCCTTCCTTTCATCAATACTTTTTTTCAAGAGCTGACAATGATTAGTTTCAAATTGTCTCTTTACATAACACGTTCTGCTTACTACCGTTCTATTTTTTTGGCCTTTGAAATTGTCTTTATCTCTGATCATTCCTTTACAACCATACACCTCAGCATTAACTCCCACACATGCAGCTGCAGCGCAACCCCCACCCCCCAAGCAAAACAGATTATTATTTCTGATTCTAGGACACTTGCCCCCTGAGGTCCCATGAACTCCCCAACATTTGCCCCTGTAATCGTGGACCTGGGCTTGGTCCCTTCCTTTCCCCGTTCACAGGAGCATTAGTCTGGAACATGGGTTACCCCTGCATAATGCACCCTCTTCTATATTACAGCTTCCAAGGCCCCAGAACAAAGCTTTTGCTGAGTGATCCCACTGAGCAGGGTCATTACAGGGGCACAGCATGGCTACAGGTCATGAAAATGCCACGTCATAAATGTTACTGTTGCCTATTGTGTGACAGCACTTGTCGCAAAGATAGATGGTCCTGGGCTGTCCTAACTCCCTCAGTATCGCCTTGAGCTCAGCCCGGATCTGGGCAAGTCTCTCCTCATTGACGATCCCCTGGATCCTGTAACACTCACGAGGGACGGGGTACAGCTCGAGGTATAAATTGCACAGATCGGCTGTGTGGCGAAGCAGCTTCTCCACGGTGGCCACAGAAAAGTTGTTCATAGAGATGGTGAAGACCCTGAGCTGCTGACAGCGGCTCAGGACAGGCAGGATGGCCTCGACTTGGGAGTCTCCCATCCCACAGTTATCTAGGCCCAGGACCTGGAGGGTGGGTGCCACTGCCTCCAGCAGAGCTCCGAGGGGCTCAAGACTAAAATCCTCGAGGCTGAGGCGAAACAGATGCAGGAACTTCAGCTGCCTGAGGTTCGGGCACTGAAACAGGTGTGTCAGGTCTGAATGTGTCAGCATCTGGCAATGTGTTATGGAGAGATTGTCCAAGGGGGTTTGCAGGCACCTGAGCATCTGGTCCAGACGGCCTTGGAGGAAGGAGGGACAATCCATGTTGAGGTCCCGGAGGTGCCGCAGCCTGAGCATCTGAGAGAAGAATTGGGAAAAGGATCGCTGCTCCTCCTGCTGTTTCCTCTCCCAATCCTCTTCCCCTTCCCACTCCTGTTCCTCCTCTGCCAACACGTGAATGTGGGAGAGAGAGAGTCTCTGCAGGTTACTCATCTGACCCAGGTAAAGAGCAAACTCTGCAGGTTACTCATCTGACCCAGGTAAAGAGCAAACGTCCCCAGGGTGGGCAGGTCCCAGGTGCAGTTCACTTCCACCGCCTGGATGCAGTCCAGCTGCACCCTATCCAGGACCTCGCTGACCCTCTGGGAGGGCACCTCAGAAATCCTCAGCACCTTGCAGCACAGGTGTAGCAACCCTTCCCTCTGCTGGGCCCACTGGATGATGTACTTGAGAAACTCATCCCCGTCGTCCCTTTCATTGAAGTTAAGGTCTAGGAACACCTCCAAGGGAGCCAAGGGGTGCTCCTGGTTGGGGCTGGAGCTGTGCACAGCCACTGGTACTTTCCATGAGCAATTCCAGGTGCTGTCTCCACACCACATTCTCCAGAAGTTGGTACCGGTGCTCCTTAAATCCAGCACCCGCAGTTTCCATCTCCTGGGCCTAACCTCCTGCGCAAGCAGAATGTCAAGCCCATCCAACAGGGCTTTTAAGACCATGAGCCCAGGCAGCTGCAGCAGGCCCCCTAGAGGGAGGACAGTGAAGGGCCAGGCCTGCACCATCGCCTTCAAGGGCTCACAGATTCTCCTGCGGTAGGCCTGAATGAACAGCGGCGGGAAGAGCTCAGCTGGCAGGTATTCCAGAGCTGCGATGGCTGAGGCCTGGTCCCTCAGCAGGCTCTCTCCTGCCAGCTCCAGGAGTGTGGGTGGGGTCTGGATGTCCATCTTCAGGGTGCTCAGAAAGGAATCCTTCTGAATTGTCGGCTGTGACTGGGTTTGCTGGGGCTCAGATCTCAGACCTGGTGGAGAAGCAGGGCACTGACTGCAGAGCTGGAGGACTCTGAATCTCTCCTCTGGTGCCTGAGGTTTTTAAACACCTTCTCAAAAGTTCACATCCAATCAGAAACCTCAGACTCCACCCCTTAATCTTATTAGGATTATTTCCTCTCTCCAGATTAATGGATTGAGAGAAAGTTAGGGAGGGGCTAGGTTGAGGCCTGTCTCATTGATTCCTTCCACAGACACTCACTGAGGTTGACTGATGGTCCCCAGTTGTCATCCTCAGTGTGAGACAGTGAAGGTGTGTTGGAGTACAACCCTGGCAGTCCAGGGGTCCCCAAAGGTATGGATGGAGTCGGCGAAGAAGAAATGACAAGGAATCAGTGTTCAGTTGATCAGCAGCCTAGCCAGGATCGCTAGCCAAGTTCTCCAGCCAAGTTTTGTGTTTTATTTTCTTGTTACATCTGTATTTATACCAGTTGATTATAATCCTATCAGTTTCTATTCCAAAGGTTAGGGCGTTTCTTATCTCCATTCCAGGGAGTAAAGATTATGTAGATTAAGGGTGATTATTTGTAGTTAAAGGGTTTAACTACCTGCCTGGCATTTAGTTAAGGGGTTTTATTCCCTCCCTAACTTCAGGGAAAAATCCCTACCTGGGGAAACAACCTTTCTCTGAGAGGTGACCTTGGTTAAAACACACAGCGCCAAGAAGGTGAGCAAACATATTAAGAACAGTATGCCATATATGCCAGGTCCCTTGAAACATATGCTGTGCAGATGTTTCTTTCCTGCAGCGACTATGTCAAGCAGCAAGGATGGACCGGCTACCAGCAAAGGTGTAATTGGTTCCTGATGTTAAATAGGAAAAACGCAACCTGAGAGCATGGTGGCTGGAGGTCTTCGGCTGCATCAGAGTACTCCAAATGTATCCACAGTTAAGCAGCCAACACCCACAGCTGACACCATTTGGTGTCATCCCCAAAGAAAACAAATGAAATGTGTCCATGCATCAGGGGAGGTTTTATGTCAGGTGCCATAGCAGATCATGAGCTCCACAGGGATTAAGGGGTGGGCAGGTGAGAATGTGGCTGTCCCTGTAGACCCCAAGGCTTCTCTGAGGGAGGTCAGGTAAGAACCTCCATTGGAAGCAGGGTCAGGACTGAGCAAGGTGGGGCTGAGCCATCCTAATGGAACCCTGTGAATGACCCAGGGCCATGTAACAGATGGGTGTTTTTTCTTGGAAAGAAGAGAAATGGAAAGACTCTTCTGTGGTGAATTTAGGGTTTAAAAGGAGACAAGCTGGAGGACAGACAGTGCCATCCTAGAGGGCAAAGGGAGAGATTGCATCTTCTGTCTCACCCAGGAGGAAATGGTGGGTCTCCTCTGGGATAGATGGGATTAGCTCAGCAACTGGGTGGAGAAGATGAAATCTAAGAATGTGAGCAGAGGGAAAGAGGCCAGGCCTGGGAGTTAGACATTTTCAAGCCCAAAAAGCACTGGAGGAGTATGCATGGGCTCTTTGGGTGTTGGAGCCTGGGAGAGAAATAAACATGGGCCAGTCACACCTAACCCTGTCACATCATGGCAGCTGCCACCAAGTGGCGTTTTTCTGAGGGTCGGGTTTCTTCCACAGAGAACCCTTCCCAGACAGCAAGTGCCTTCCCTCACTACACCGTGTCTCCATGGTCCCATTCCTGCCCTCATGGCACCCCTTCACTTCACCACACCCCCAGTGATCTTCCTTATGACCACCAGCTCCCAATGTCCCCACTTCAGTAAGCCTGCCCCCCAATATCACTGTGTTCTGTATTTGTCTGACATCGCTGTGGTCTGCAGGACCAGAGGCTCTTTGAAGCCACGGGCAATCATTGCTCCTTAGACATCTGTGGAATGAATGGGTGGCTCTTGGTGATGTGAGAGAGGCCAGCTGTGGCCAGCCCGCTGCTGCCATGTGGAGCTCTTGGCCTGCACAGCGTTCCTCTAGTTCTCCATCCTTCTCCTGTCAGTCACTCACCGTACAGACACCCCTGAGCACCCATTGTGTGTGCCAGGCTCTGACTCTGGGGAACTCTGAGTCACGTAGAGAAGACAGGGCCACTGAACAGACCCTGGAGTGAGGAGCGGAGGCACTGCTGTCAGGGCTGATGCCTGTCGCTGAGCTCTCCTGGAAACGGACAGCACAAACACAGGCTGCCTCCAGGAGGAATCATGGAATTTGTCTGCAGAACAAAATCACAGCCAACCACACACATGTGGGCCCATGAGCCAAATGCACAGTAGACCCAGACATGACCAGTGAGTCCTAAGCTGGGCTTCTGCTGGCATTTCTTGCTGTGACCGGGTTGGCTGGGGCTCAGATCTCAGACCTGGTGGAGAACCACCTTAGTGACTGGACAGCTGGAGGACTCTCTTACTACCGTTTCATTGCACAGTATGCAGGATGATCTGTTGTTTCTGTCGACAATCCCGTACATCTCAGTCCATATGTCTTGAAAGGGTTGGCTACTGCTACTTCCACTTCCTTTATCATTCATTCTTGCTTTTTATTTTTTGATTCTCCATCACAAGGCTGCAAAAATAAATAAATATAAATCACCGCGTTTTTTATAAAAGGTTGATAGGTTTCTCACCTATTACCTTTTGCAGTGTTGTTGCACTGACTCCTGGTGCAAAACAATTCAAAGATAGTATGTATAACCAACAAATATATGGTGCTGTAATCAATTATCCGACACGCAGAATGTCTCGTCGAGCACTGTCGCACTGTATATCTTTTTCTTCTAACCCTCCCAGTCTTGTCTCCTAAGGAACATGGTGATCAAGTGTGTCCTTTTGCCGAATGCACCCGAACGCACAGGAAGCTTACCCGAGTCACATGTTGACAATAACGAAGCCGTTTCCAGAATTGGGCATTTTGTCACTCAAGTAAAAATAAAATGTCATGAGTAACGATTAATCTCTTTATAGTGCAAATCTTAGCCTTTTTATATTAATGTCAATTTTCAAACAATGTTTCTTGGATGTTTTCACTATGTATCTTTGCTACACAACACCAATGTACATGTTTACAGCCAGTTTTAGAATTGCATTATTGATCATGAGTAACGTGAGTAATAATATTACTTGAATGATGCCCAACTCTGGCCGTTGCAAGAGACAAATATTTGAATTATGCAATTTTTTGTCTCTGTCGATGCATGTCACCCAAAATGAGTTCGCGTGTTACTTCTGACACGTGTGTCATAGGTTCGCCATCACTGACTTAGGCAATATTACCTCTTTTAGTACTTTAGACACCATTTTACCACATTTAAATTCAGTTAAGTTGATTATAAAATGAACCTGAATACTAATTTTTAAGGTCTTTTGCAATTTTGACACTCTAGTAAATCTGGAATCCAAAATATGATATCCAAAACCATTCAAAATCATCTGAAGTATGGCCTGTATTTTTTTTTAAGGCAGTAAATATTTAGATTGCTGGTTGATTAGTTTCCCAGGGCTGCTATAACAAAGGACCATAAACTAGGTTGCTTAAACCAACAGAAATTTATTGTCTCACCGTTTGGTAGTGCAGAAGTGAAATCAAGGTTCTGGTGGTTTGCTGACAATCTTTGATATTTCTTGGCTTGAAATGCATGACTCCAATCTCTGTTTTCATCATATAACTTTCTCCCTATGAATCTTTGTCTTCGTACAGAGGGACCCCACCCATGCAAAAATTCATGCACTGAGCCTCTAGTATGATCATAATAAAATTGCATTTGACATTCTATATTGAAATTTTTCTACAATAATTTTTAAAAGAGTTTAGCAATTTTGTTTACTAAATTTCTTAATGATATGAGTAATGCATGTACTTGATAATTGGCTATAATTTTTCAGCAGTCAGTACGTACTTTGAAATTCTTGCAAAATGAGAAATCTCACAAATTATTTTAAATGCAATTGATTCTAATAAAGTTCCTACAATATTAATTTAGCAATTAATAACAACCATGCAATGTTATTTTTTATAGACATTAGTTTATTTTCCAATATTACTTTTTGTTACTTTTTGATCCAAACATATTTTTTAGCTTCAACATTACTGTGAGTACTTGATAAGCACAATAGCATTAAGCATCATATTTTCAATGACTTCTGTAGAATATCCCTAGAGTAAACCACATGCCACAATTTCACTCTTATTCACCTGGCCTACTAGGTTCACTCAAAAAAGTTGGGCAGTTCATATATGTTACCTAGATTTGTAATATTCAAATATATTGTTTGAACAATGATATCCAGATGGACCTCTTCATATTTTTAGGTTCTAATATTTTCTTTATTACTATCCAAGACAAACCCACAAGACCCAGTGAAAACCAAATACAGAGTAGGATAAAAGTAGGTTTACAGTTGTTCATATGGAAAATAATACAATAATTAAGTATAATAAAAGATTTTTCATTTCCACTGAGTGGAGTAATATGTCAATAGAATTCCCACTTCTATTCCACACATCTCTTCATGAGCTGGCCAGATTTTAGGAAAAGTTATCAAGGTTGAATTCACCATTTAATTTTAGTGTTAAAAGAGGCAATCACGGTTTAGTACAGAAGTGCAAAGATAACATTCAAACCCAGTATGTACACACCCACACAAGAGCATTCCCTTGCTCACAATCACCCTTTAGCTGTACAGTAGCATTGTGTAATAAAAATTATGTTTTAAACAGTGAAAATGAAAAAAAGCAATGTTATTTTTCTTAGTGTTGCTTAGCAGTAGATCTGCACCTCCAGATATGTATGATGACATTGCCATCTAATGGGTAATCCACAGAGAGAGTTCACAATTCATAATGAAATGTGCTATTGCTTTCCATATTCTGCTGATTCCAGAGGAAAATCTTAGGTTACCACATATGAGTAAAGAAAAAGCTTTTTTCCCCCCTAATATGG